TCTCAGAGCTATTTTTGTCTTCACCCTCATCTGGGACCTTGATCCTTTGGTTTCTCCAGCCATTGACCAGCTAAAATCCTCTTAATGCTACGGAAACCCCAACTACGTAATGGGACGACAGAAAAAGCTCTGCCATTTCTTGTTGCAGACGTCATTTGCTTCCTGAGGCTTTCATTAAATTGAGGGCAGGATCATATTGACTTAACGGATGTGATTGTGGTTGTAATTAAAAACAAAATGAAAAGAAGCAGTATCAGGGAGCACACTGAACATGGTTAATGTTTAGTGCTGGGTTTGAGCATGAGATAAAATGTGAAGAGTACATCCCTTATCCTTGAACAGGGCTGAAGGATATGGGGCTTACTCCACTCCTTGCAAGGATTCTGTGCATGAGTTTGACTCCAAATATTTACCAGTCTCCCCTTGAAGGCGGTAGACTAAGGACCAAAGGTCAGCAGAGTTAGGACAACAGCTCCAGACCCGTGGTGGGCTGGAGCAGCAGAGCTGCCACTTTGCTTTAACCCTCTGGGGTCTTCGTCAACAAGTCAGAGAGAAATGCCTCATGTCCTGTTTAGCTAAAATTAAACATCTTCAAAGAGGAGTAGGGAATGAGGAGAGTCAGGGGTTTGCAACAAGGGGCACTGGGCTGGAATATGCACGCTGCATGTCGCCCTCTTACTGCAGGTACATCATTGATCTCCAGTTTAATCTCTCTGTGCCACCAGCATTTTATCTGTAGAAGGGGTGCAGTAATGCTGCTTCAACTCTCCTGTTTTAGCTGCTAAGTTCTTTAGGCCATGGATATTATGCAAGTATATTGTTATGGTCCTTGAGGTCCTGGCTCTGTGTGGGGAACCCTCTGCTCTGCTGTGTTAGACTGGGGACCGAGGCTGGTCATCCTGCACAGGAGACACGGCGCAGAGCTGCTGGCAGTCACTAGACAGGATTTGTTCTCCTTTGATGAGGACAAGCCATGTGAGGAGGTGGATGGCAGCCCCAGGCACTCTATTCAGCTGTGATGAATAATAGCTGCTGCTGACACCTCGTGGAAGCCTTACACAAATATTTTCTCCAGAAACCTTTTGGTTTCGTTTCCCCTTCTGCTGCTGGTTCCCCACCTGAGGAGCTGGCCCTTTGCTTCTGTCATCTCTGGAGCACGCAGCTGGGAAGGAGGCAGCAGGGACCTTGTCTACCTGCAGCACCAGGGATGGGAAGGAAGCTGAGGAAGGCTGCCCAGGGCTGTCCTTTCTCTCCTAAAAATGGTGGTGAGTGAGGGCAGTTCACCATAGATATGTGTTGCACATCAGATGCAGAGAGGAGAGCACTCCCCTCCCAGGTTACAGACCTGGGTCTGTAACACCCATCATGCACATGCCTTTTGTGTGCCTGTTTGCCCATCTCCATTTTTCAGGGGACGATATTGGGAAGCGGCTCTTACAAATCACTCTGTCCTTTCATTTCAGAATCTCAAATCACTTTGAAAGAGAGTGAAAAGTTTTCCTGGGAAGTGCAAAAATATTTTCATTTGAGAAACAAAACCACTGAAGAAGCTACAGAGTGTCAGTGCTGATCTGGGTTGGGGCATTGCTCCTGGCTCCTGTGCTGGAACAACCAGACAACATCACTCCATCCAGGGGAGGAGTCGTGGCCTTGAATCTCGCCCTGTTCTCACCACTCACCACCACACTGCCTTGCTCAGCACCCACTTCTTCTTCCTCCTCAGTCTTCATTTGTATTGCAGTCACTCTCTATTTGCTTGACTTCATATGAATCACCATTTTACACTGAGCCTGAGTTGCCTATAACTTCAGCTGCTTTGCTTTCTCTGCTGCATTATAGGATCAGCTCCATCCTGACCCATGGCATGAAAAAAGATTTGCTTTGGAAACAACAAAGTGAGCAAGTCTTCACTTGTTACTCTTGTTTCCTGCTGCTGAGTGAATTCCAAAAATACGCATCCCAAATGATACTTGGTGGCTGAGCACTGAAACAGGTTGAGGAGTCTACTTCCCTGGAGATATTAAAAGCTGTTTGGACACAATCGTGAGTAATGTGTTCCACGAGACTCTGCTTGAGCAGGACTAGATGACCTCCACTGGTCCCTTCCAACCTTACCCCTTTGTAATTCTTAGGAGCCCAAGTGATGCTCTGATACACTTTGTTTTGGAAAGAAAATATCTCGACCAGCTCTGGAGGAAGTATATGGTGTGAGGGTTGACCACTGCCAAACATCAGTCCTAGCTGATAGGAGGCTGAATAAATGGCTCAGTTGGTGTCACGGATTTTTTGAGGCTGTCGTTGTCCACTTGGTGGGACAACCCAGTTTTTAAGGCTTATTTTTTATTCTGGTTCCTCGATAGAGAAAAGTGGTCTTGCAGAAGTGAGACAGGCAGCAATGTGATGAGATATTTTAGCTGCAGCTGTCTCACAAGCCCTCAGGGATGCTCACAGGCTGTCATCAGTGTCCACTTTGACTGGGTTCGTGGGCCACCCCTCATTAAGCCTTGATTTTGACACCTGTAATAAAAGAGCCACGTTCATCCTTTTGGAAACTTGGGGAAACCCCCAGAGCTGCAGCAGAGATTAAATTTCATCCTTCATGTTACAGGGGGAAGCTGAAATGTGTGTTTGTCCCTTAAAAGACAGAAAAGTACCCTTTGGGGAGCCTTTCTCTTTCGTAAGCAAGAGGTTGAGAGGGGTCAGAGAGCTCCTGACGCCTGTGAAGGATTTTGGCCTTCAGCTTGATGTTGGTTGTTAAAAATATTTTCCCAGATGTATTAATACAACCAGACTGGATTGCATCTGAGCTGAACATTGTGAGCCTCAGGCAGGACATAAATATAGAAGCAAAACAGCCTGACATAAGAGTCATCTGTCCTCTTGTACACAAGAAGTGAAGGGGAAAGAGAGGGAACTTATTCTGTTGCAATTTTTAGACACTTCCAGGAATTAGCCTGAGCCTCAGAGAGAGCCTGCATGGGGGTCCTGGGGCACAGAAGCCCCCATATATCCCTCTCAGCCCCTGGTGTACTATGTCACAGGACTGCACATTTAGCACATTTTTGACTCAGGGTTAGATTTGCCTAGACAAGGTCTGCAATCAGGAATGACTATTTGTATGATGTGTTTGCCTAACAGGATTACCCTTATCATAATTATATAGCAACCTGGCCTTGGCAGAGCAAACCCCAAAGGCTCAGGGGGTCAAACCCTTGCCTCCATTGCCCCAAATATGCACAGCACAGCTTGTCTCTTATCATGCAATATATAGCCCTGCTTCAGCTGGTATTCAGATTTTGGAAAGAGCAATTGTGCCATGTACTGCTGCCTGCTGACATCACACTTGGCATTTCTCTCTCTGCACCTGAAAAAAAAAAAATCAATAATATTCAAAGGTTAGAAAAATGATGCAGTGCTTTACAATTAGCAAATGGGATGCCTTCCCTGGTGGGAGTTGCTCTGAGAAGGTGCCTGATTGAATTCAGTGTGAATTTGTTGCCCTCTGGCTCCATAAGAAACAATGAGTTGCCTGCTTTTGAATTGTACATTTTAAAATCATTACAAAATCATCTGCTCATCCATAAAAGTGTACCTGTGATTATTAAAGTTTGCTAACTTAAAAGACTTGAGGGAGGTGCAGGATGAAAGCTCAGTTTTCCCACAGATAAGTAGGACAAAGGCTTTGCTAAAGCAGAGCCTGACCCCACTGGTCTTATCCACCCAGGCTTATCCACTACAGTTTCTGGCCAGGCTGGGGACACCTCCTGGCTCCCTGTTGGTGTCATTTTAACCCCAGCACTTCTCAGGCCAGCTGACGTGAGCCTGTCCTTACCAGCTCCCAGGCTATTTGCAGAAGCAGAACCTGCCGCTCGCTATGTGTCGGTTCCAAAACAAGCAGGATCCTCTATTTATAATGTGCTATAATTGGCCTGAATGAAACCTGTGGTTCTTCAGGCCCCAGGGCCCCAGGACTGCTGATGCAGTGGCACCCTAATTCCAAGGGATGCTGCTGGGAATGCCAAAATGGCTCTGCATAAAGCCGAGGGATGTGTAGGTACATAGTATGAGTGGTACATTCGCAGGCTCCTGGTTTCTGGAGCAGGCTGTACTCGTCAGGGTTATGTAGATCCCCTTCTCTAGATAAGATCTGGGGGGATGGAGCCTCTTTGAAGCAAAGCAGAGAGATATTTTTGTGCTGCAGCAGCTTCACTGTGTAAATGCTTGGGTTGCCACGGGGAGCATTACCTTTTTTTCTTCCAAGGCATTTATAACTGGGATGTGAGCAGGGCTCTGCGACTCAGAAATTATCTATTCAACCATTGGGCCTAAAAGATTTGAGTTCACCTGTGATTAGTGTATATTTAATTGTGGTGGCGTGTGTGGCTGCTCAGACCCTGCTGTTCAGTATGGAACTGTTCTGACCTCGTAGCTCGTTACAGGACAAACTCCTGTCTAAGACAAAGAAAAGCAGCCACCTCACTTTTGTTTAGGGGCCGGTACATACAGTATAATGCTCACCCAAGGGTTGATTTGGTCTGTCTTTGCTATATAAACTTCTCTGCCATCTGAATCGTAAAACACAATAGATATAAGGCCAAGCAGAAAGATTAAAAAAAGAATTGGCTAATGCTTTGCGTGTCTTAGAGGACTTATTTTTATTCCCATTTGTTCATTCTCACTGCTCTTGGCTGCCGCTGGGGCTGTTGAAATAACAAACAGGGATGAAGAAAGAGGGCAGCTCTGCCGTGAGCTTCCTTCGGTGGGAAGCGGTTGCGGTGCAGTAGTTAACTCTAACAGCGACTGCAGCCTCCATGGCTTTGTGGCCTACATCCCAACAGGAAAACTGCCTTGTTTCTGTCAAAAAAGAGATTGGATTATCAGCCCAAAGCCTTTTTGATGCGAAGTGGTGTTTAGAAAGAGTCTGTCTTTCCCTTTTGCTTTGTAAAAAAAGTAGTCAGAAGTGTTCTAGCGCTGCCTGCTGCTGCTCTGCTGCCAAGAAAACCTCCCGGGTGTGGTGATGAGGCCTCCGTAACATTTCCGGTTTCTCTGTAATTATTTTCTAATTAAGTTTTCAAATCCAAGTACAATCATGAGGTTAAACCATAGTGAGTTCACAGTAGGGTCTTTCCGTTTGCTTTTTCTTTTTCTAAATCAGTAGCTGTCCCCTACGTGGAGGTGATAGATAATTATGTGCATATGAAGGTGCTCAGAATCAGGAAAGCAACACCTTTTACCTGCTGAATTCAGCACTAGCATCACTTTATGCAACTTTCTATTTGGAAGCACTGCTTTTGCAATTGTAACTGCCTGATCAGATTTGTCCATTAGTGTGTCTACTCACGGCTTATTAAGTGGCTGGGGCATTAGGGTGCAGCTCCCCTTGACAGCATTTTCCTCTGCTCCTCCACATGCAATTTAGGGAAATGGGAGTAATGATGTTTCCAAGGTGTTGCCAGCGTTTTTTGATGCCTCCAGATCAGAAATCAGAAATAAAAAAGGTCTAAAAAGATGATGCAAGGTAATGGGGAGATGAGATACATGACAAAAATAAGTCACGTGTAAATAGTGAAGCTGAGAAACACCCAAGCCCAGCTGCTAAGCACAGGACAAAGGTTGGCTTGCTCCCTGCCCCTACCTGAGCTGTGCAGGGGCCCCAGTGATCTCCTCCCCTTTGGCTCTGCTCCCTGGACCTCTCCTGTAGCCCTGCTTGGATACCGGGACCAGGACAGGGTCACTGGACTCACCATCACCTTCCATCTCAGCAGCAGGGCTGCCCACAGTGGAGCAGCCACCACTGACCTGAACAGTGTGTTTGGAGGTTTTTTATTGCAGAAAAGTGTGAAGCACACTTGGACAAGGTTTTGGGCTCCTTCAGAGTTTTTTGCAGAGCTGCAGGTCTGGGCAGAGCTGGTGCCTGTGCTGGCCCCCCAGCCCATCTGTGTACCCCCCACACACCAACATGGTCCCTCTCAGGTGAGGGTTGTTTGGTGGCTTTTGGGAGTGCTGATGTGTGGCAGCTCACTCGGAGGTGGGTACAGCAGCATCTCCTGAAACACCCAACCATGCAAGTGGGAGTTTAACTCATGATAAGGAGCATTACAGGAGACAGACAAAATACTCAGGCTCCCCTCTTCACATCTCTTCTCTGTTGCTGCCAGCCTTTAGCCCCACTCTCCTGCCCCAAAATCAGGGATAGCAGAATCCTGTGTCCCAGTTTACAGCCAGGTGTTTCAGCTTAAACTAGTGAGGAAAGTGGGTTGAGGCTAATATATTGGTGTGCTAGAGGAACGTAAGCCTTGGAGTAATGCCTGTGCTTGGGAGAGGTAATGCCATTGAGTTGGGTTGGGTTGGGTTTTGTTTGGTTTGGTTTCTTAAGTGATGTCAGCCTTTGAGATCTCTTAGACTTGTGTCTGAGTTAAACCCACAGGAAATGTAAGATTTTGTATCAGTTTACCCTGGAAATCTTACTGCTGTCTCTGAGGCTCAAGTGCTCCTGGAGGCAGCCTGCCCTTGCAATTCATGTAGTCTGTGAAGCAGAAAGAAAAATATACTGGCCAGGGTTCAAGTACCTTTCTTGGTTGTCTTGGTGATAAGTGCCTGATAAGAGTTCAAGGTCTTTGCTTGCTTGTGTAGAATAAAAGCAGCTTTTCTTAAGTTATGGTTGGCATCCATGGTCTCCCAGAGGGTGCTGATCAGTTGTTCCCAATGTCTGGGCTGTTCTTAGTGAGTAAGACAAGGTTATGCTGTGTGGGTTTTAGTTTGTCCTACAACAGAGGTGACCCTACAGGTTTTCAGTCTCTGGCACGCTGTAGTGGCTATGCCATGGCAAGCATTTGGGATAAGCTGACTGTGTCCTCTGGAGGGTTGGGGCTTTGTGGAAGGAGTGCAGGATGGTGGCACAAGCTGACTGCAGTTGGTAGCCCACTGCACTGGTCCCTGGAAGCAAGCCAAAGATAGCTGCTGTGTTAGCACCATCATTAGGTTTCAGAGTTGACAGCTTGTGGAGATGTAAAGGCAAGGTAAGCCTTCTTGGTGCTGCCACTTCCAGCTTTTGTTGTCTGGGGAAAAAGGGAATGGTTCTCTGATGCTTGGTTTGTGCTCTGAGAGACTAAGCATGTCTGAGGGCTGGGGTTTTTTTAGCAGGAGTGTGTGGATGGTGGTGTAGGGAGAGGTGAGGCGAGGTCAGAGCAGTGGGATGGAACATTCAGGCTTGCTCTCAGGGCTCCAGTGGGCTGAAGCAGATGTCAGAAGCTGAAGTCTTTGGGTCACCTGCAGTGGTGAGGATGGAGGTGCATCTACTGCTGTCTCCAGCCCATGCTCTCATGAGGGTTCCCCAGCCCCGTCTGCCTGACGCCATGGGAAACTTCCCAAAGCTGGAGCCTCAACTGCCCTTGTTTCTGTACAGGCCGTTTAGTCATTTCCCACTTATAAACAAACATTTTAGAGACACTGCAGGAGCTGAGCCACCAAGAGGACAAAGCTCCATTGCTTTTAAAGCAGCTTGTTCCTCAGTGAGTTTTATCATGCAGCGGCTCAGCCACTGATGAACTGAAATCACGCTCTGCTTGTGGTACAGGGAACAGGAAAATGTCCTTCTGGAGGCCAGTCTTTCAGTCTTCAGCTTGAACATTTTAAGTGTTGTAACTGAGGTGCCTTTTTTCTGAGATTTTTTTTTTTAAGGAAAAAATTATTTTATTTTTCCTTTTTTTTTTTTTTTTAGTGAGGCCTGGGTTTGTCTCACTACCTTTCCACTGATGAGCCCATGCTGTCTTGAGAGCTCTCCTTCCTTACATGCAGAGGTCTCCCTGGATTTCTCTGAGGACACTTGCATTGACAGAGCAACAGAGATCTGAAGTGTGGTGTTTGCTGCAAACTAAAGGCAAACAATTCACCTCAGTCCTTGAAAAAGGAGGAATCTGCTCACCCATGTTTAACTGCTCTCTGGATTCTGCGCTTTTCTAACCTTCATTTCCACTTGTGTGACCTGCCCAGAGGTGTGGGCTCACATGTTACTCCTGCTGACCCGGGCAGGACATCGTGTGCCTGGCGCTCCGTCTCGCACTGACGTGGTTCTTGAAAATCCAATGTGACTGAGGGCATCCAGAGCTTGGGGGTGAGTTGTTGCCAGGTCTCCTGGAGCACTACCCAGCAGTGCTGGAAACAGCCTCGGGGATAAACACTCATGTAAATGATCAGGCAGACCCTTCCTCAAGGAGGGTCTCCCAAGACAATGTTTGTAGGGCTTAAAGTGGAAAATTGTTTCACCAAAAAAATTCCAGACAGAGGGATAAGTAGTCAAAAAAACAGTGGGAAGTTTTAAAATAAAATTTTAAACAGCATATTGGACATTTTAATTGAGAGATTTATTCTTGTCTCATTAAAAAAAAAATAAATCAAAACTCTGTTATTTACCTAAAAGCTGTATCACGAGGGGTGGAGGCTGCCAGCATGAGGCACGCAGAGCTGTGGGGCTGAGCCAGAGCTCCTGGGTACCACCTCTCCTGCTCTGCCCTCAGGCTGTGGGCTGGCACAGGCACAGAGCTCCTTCCTGCCCACCGGCAGCCTGATAAACACGGCTGGCTTGTGCTCACTGCTCAGCACAAGCTGGGTCAGGCACCTGATAAATCTAAGCCAAAAAACGAAAGTGCGCTGGACTGCTGAGGATGGAGCTGCCGTCAATTTGTTTTTCTTGGCTCAGCAGTTTCCCCTGAGATCTCCATCAGTGAATCGATGCTCGGTGTCGCGCTGTCCTGTCTCAGCTCCTCATCCCGGGAGGTGGGTGTCCTCAGGCTGGCCCTGAGGGACGTGTGGCCTGCAACAGCCACCCAAAGCAGCAGCTTGGGGCTGGCTCAACACTGAGGTTAACTCCCGTCGGAGCTGCCGAGGTTCATTTCAGAGCTCAGTGTGTGCCAGGTGCTCCCTGAACTGAGACACCTACCTGGCTGCCGGTGTGAGGGGTGCGTCACTCTGTTACATAAACATTTTGGGTTCCTTCCAGGTTACTGCACTCCACTAGGAGCTAGAAAATAGCATTTTCTGCAGGACTACCCCTTCTGTAGCAACAGCCTGCTTCTGTTTCCATGAGGCAGATTCGGGTTTTCCGGTGACATTGGTCAGGCACAAAAATCATATGCTCTGAGAGACGCAAACCAACAGTTTTGGCTGCCTTACCCCAAATGTCAGATTGTTTCGGTATTTTTTTTAATGATTTTTATCTTTACAGCTCTTCTTGCTAAGCTATTTAAAACTAGAAAAACAAGAAGCTTGTTGTAATTAAATTGGGACCACGGTACAAATCACCAGGGTTCTTCCCGCCCACGTTCCGGCCAAAGTTGACTTGCGGTGCCTGTTCCAACTTGCAGCAGCTGCGAGTGTATCGGCAGCCGAAGGTTCCCCCCTGCAGCACAGTGACAGCTACTGCAGGTGTCCCACGAGTTGAAGCTCATTTATCCATGTGGATTTTCATGTTAAAAAAAAAATGGTAAAAAAGAAGGCATCTTGCTCTGCTAAGATTCAGAGAAAATTCTACTGACCTCAGTAAAAGCAGATGGGGTTGTTAATGGCATGGAGGAATTGGCAATTATTGGCACTTATTTTCTTTGTGAGGCCCAAGCTGGGGAGTTTCCCAGGGAGATGTGTTAGGCCACAGGTATTGGTATAACAAATACATCCACGAGTCAGCACCAGACACAGTTTTGCCCCTCAGCCATGATAAGACAGAAGAAAAAGAGGGCTAAACGTTTAAATGGTTCAAGGGGCAACTGAAAAAATTAATGGAGAAACTTGCTGAGGAATACTGAGGCAACACTACAGCCCAAGGATGTGCCTAAGAATGAAACTGTTGGAGGTAGTGGGAGTTTTGGGGGAAACATTTTTATTGATTCTCTGTTCTTGTAGTACCCCCTCCTCTGGGTGCACCAAGGATGGATGGACCTTCACCTGATCCAGCCCCCCACACAGCTCTTGTTCTCTTAAAGGCATCTGTGCCAGTGCTTGCCAAAGCATTTGGGTTTTCTGTTGCTGCAGACTCTAACTGAATTTAGGCAACTGCAGGTAAATGTACTACACAGAGGTCACAGACAAAATGCCTTTTCTAACTTCACCTGGTTAGATCCTTTTCTAAAGGAAAATTGAGCTCCTGAGAAATGTACTGGCTTTGTTCATCACTTACACCAAAGCCTGCCCACTGTGTTCATCACCTACACCAAGGTCTGCTGCCCACCTTGTGCATCGCCTACACCAAGGGCATCTACCCGAGCATATACTGACCTGCCCCATTTTAGGGATGCAGTGGGGCTTGACCAGTAGTTGGCAGGGGCTCATAAAGCAGTAAAACTTTGTTCATAAAGCTTTGTTCCCCTCTAACATGCACATACAAACCCCTGAGCTTTAGCTGGCTGCTGGCACAGCCCTCAGCTTAGCATAGACTGTGTTTTCTCATGTGAAATTCAATAAATTCAGCATTTTCAGGACCTCGGCATAATCAGGGTTTTCAATCTTCTCCTTCATTGCCTTCTAATATACCCTCCTAACAATTAACTCTGTGTGTTGGGAGAATGCCAAATGCAGGGTAAAAGACTTCGTTTTTCTTTCCCATAATTAAATGTCGTGTTCGCTGCTGTCTCTCCCACTCGATTAAGTGTCCGTGTATGGTCTAAAATGCTCTTTCGTGAATTAGCATAAAGTCTGTGAGGATTTCAACCAACATTCTACCTCCCGTTGCATCTGTGCAGCTCACAAAGAGCAGTGTTGGCTGGTGCTGGGGGCTGTTCCCCCGGCTTTTTTCGGGGGGCTGGGCTCAGAGAGCGCTGTGAGGCTGCCTGCTCATCTCCCCTCACCCCCTGCCCGGAGCAGTCATGCCTGGATACAGAGCCTGTGACCCTCTGCACAGCGTTGTGGCTGTGCCTGGCTCGCTCCCACAGGAAACTGCTTGGATGTCAGAGGAAAGAGCTTTTTGCTGCAACTCTGTAAAAACCACTTGCAAACCTCTCCCTGGTCTCCATCCGTGCTGCAGGCTAATTGGGGCAGCTAGCTGTTAGGAACCCTTTTCTTTAATTACATCTAAAGATATACTGGAGAAACATTCCCCAAGAGAGACTCTGGCAACATCTACAACACTGCATGTGATGGCAAAAATATAGTAGGGTGTCACTGGACTAAAAGATGTGTGACTTACGGGCTGGGAGGTGCAGTAAGTATCAGAACTTTCTACCAGTTCAGGGTGAGCTGGAAGCGAGATGATGGCTGGGGTCCTCAGCACAAGATAAGCAGCATGGTTGCCCTGCCTGGCAGCCCTGTCCTGGGGAATGGCTCATTCCTGCTTGGAGGGTTTCCCCAAAATACATTCCCTGGAGCTACTGCACTTTTTGCCATATCCCCCAGGGCTGGTCTGTGCTACACAACTCCAGGTAGAGGGTGCTGGTAGGTACTGGGGCAGTGTGACATTATCTAGGGGCATGCTCAACTTCTCAACTTTTCAGCACAGCCCTGGCTCCTGGCGAGAGTCTGTCCTTGTCTCCTTTACATCCTGCAATGCTTAGCCCCACTCTTTACCCTTCAAAATGTTCCTGGAGCCTTTTTCCCCCCCCCACTGTACTCATTTGCTTAAAATCATAGAGTTGTTTAGGTTGGAAAAAGATGTTTAAGACCTTTAAGATCATCAACCCAGCACTGCCAAATCCACCACTAAACCGTGTCCCTAAGAGCCACATCTACACATCTTTTTAATACCTTTAGGGACAGTGGCTCCGCCACTTCTCTGTGCAGCCTGTTTCAATGCCTGATCATCCTTTCAGTGAAGCAATTGTTCCTCATATCTAATCTAAACCTTCCCTGGCACAACTTGAGGGTGTTTCTTCCTGTCCTATTGTTGTTTCTTTAATTGTCATAATTCTTTAATCTTCATAACTTCAGGTTTGTTGCCAAATTCACAAGCAGTCTCTGATACAGGAAGATGGGTCATTATAAGCTGGAAGAAGACTTGGTAGTGAGAGGAACAGAGCTGGCAGATAAACTTGGAATGTGGTTGTGAGTCCCAAGCCCTCCTTGCCCAGAGATGCCTCTGTTGCCTGAGGAGGGATCACACTGGGTGGGATCTCGTACCACTGCTATTTCCCCAGCTCTTCCTGCAGCTCTCTCTATGTCCCTTGGATAAACAGCTGCAGAAAAGGAGCCTTTGTTTCCAGCAGTGTTGGGGGAATGGCTCGTGGTGGTACAGATAACCCTGCCTGCAGACAAGCTGAGAGGCTGCAGTACAACCGGGAGGGTACACAATGTATTATTCGCCAGCTGTTTCCTCTCCTTTCAAGACTTTTTTTATAAAACCAGGGCCTGGAAGTGATGCATGTGAGATGTGCAATCAACCACACAGAAGGAGTTTGAGCTTTTGTCTTGCTGGGTACTCAGACCATCCCGGTCACGAGGAACTGGTTTGTGCAAATCTGTGTCTGGACCTCCATGGCGTTTGACTGCAGGTGGCCCATAAATGTGTTTTCTTTCCTCTCTGGCTGCCTGCTGAAGACCTGAAAATCTGATTTACAGTGGTGTCAGGTACCTGCAGCTTTGACAGATGGTAGCAGGAACGATGCTTTAAACATACTGAGAGGCACTCCCATGACTGGGGTCTTGGGGCTTCCTGCTCCGGCCCCTGGGTGTTCACAGCCTCCCCTTTGCATGGCCCAGTCCCTGAGGAGGGGATAGTGACAGCCCCCTACTCCTTGGGCTGCAGATAAAGATGTTCTCACCTGCACTGGTGAGGTGCTACAGAGAAAAGCCCATGAGAAAAAAATACAGGTCCCCATGTCCAAGTCCAGCACTGAGGAAAAACAATTGCCAAAGATGTGAATAAAAAGCTTTTTTTTTTTCTTCCTTCAATCTAGCTATTCAAATGGCCATGAAAAATATGACTGTTCTTTTCTTTTATAACCTCTTACAAGCTCTCAATTTTAGCATCCACTCCCCAGAGCCCATAAAATAAATGGGTAGCATCACCATAAAAATGAACAAAATCCAAACCCGTAGCCAGTTCAAATTCTGTCTCATTAAATGCATATTAAGAAAAATGCCTCATCTTACATAAATATGTAATTGTTTATAAATCTGTAACTAATTTTAAGTTATTTGAAACAGTCCTATAGTAGAATGACCTTCTAGAAATGGAACAGGGTGCCAGTGGACCACACTAAAAGACAAGAACAGATTAAATGGGAAGTACCTCTATTTTAATATATTTGAAATTTTTTTCCCTAGAAAACTCATGTTAAAGAAAAAGGTAAATTTTTTCATTTATTTCATGTATTTGACTTTAAATAATATTTCCCCTCTAGATACTCAGCACCCTGCCATACCCAGGAACTGAGGACTTAACTCAGGGATCATCTGGCCAGACACCTTCTTCTCCAGCCTGCCAGTTTCTAGCAGTGGGTACCCGACCTGCTTTCTACCAACACTTTCACCTCTGCAGAGCAACAGCAGAGTCCTGAGAGAGGTTACTGGGAAAGGACAGTATCCTCTTGCACTGCCTCTCCTGTTTGCATAACAGCTATCTCAGAGCTGGAAAACAGTCTTTTGTGCCTGCAGCTTCAAGGGGAATCCATGGCTGGGTGAATAGAGGAGTAGACATAAAAAGATATGGACAAACACATTACATTTCTGTTCTTCGTGCTGAATATTGATGCAGTGTGTTGCACCTGGCCTGTGCAGCCAAGTCCTACCCAAGCCCCTGGCCCTGGATAATGAGAAATGCTTCCCAGCCTCCCAGGTCACATGTTGACAAGGTCTAGGCATCAAGTTGAGACTGGTCCAGCCATTCCCCAATCCCAACCAGGTGCTATTCCAAGAAAAGAAGAGCAAGGTTAAGTTCTGGATCCTCCTTCAGCATTGTCCCAGGACAGGACCATCCTTCACGGGTACACTCCTGCTCCCATGTGTACCTTTGCCATGAAACCAGAGGGTGGCTCCAGGCTTTCCCTCAGTCTGTCAGGGAAGAGAAGAAAAGGGACTCAGTCTCCCAAGAGAAGGTGGAAACAGCTGAGCTGGTAAGAAGACAACCCAGCCCTGTCCTAGCTGTGCTGGAGATCCAGCACCGATTCCCTCTGCAAGTGCAGGTGGGGAGGTAAAATGTTGCTTTCCCTTTTGTGGGTGAGCTTTTGCTGCTGCTGCTGGTGGGTGCAGGATGACAACCCACATGACTACGTTCCCAGCAGTGGGTACAGCGAAGTGCTGCCAGATGATGACACCTCACACGGTCTCAGGGATGCTTTTAGATTCATCTATGAATAACTCCCTGTGTTTTCATTTCTGGAGACATAAATATGTATCCCCAAATGCTCCTGATTGTCACACGCCTCATCAGCCTGGAAGCTGGTAAATTGGTGACTGATTTCAAGTCTGTCCAACATAAGGCTCTGTGATTGATCAGCGTGGCCGGAGCCGTCCTCATCTCACTCCTATGCCAAAATCCTAGGAGCGTGTTCTCATCATAGTGACAGGCTGGGAACAAGCTGAGGAGGAAAGCTGCAAGAGCTGGGTCAGTCCTGGAGCAGGCTGGCATAACTTCAGCTGATTTGAATGTGAATTACACCCATTTAGGCCAGGCCTGGAATTTACCCCTGGCATGGGCTGGGTCTCTGCAGTTTCACTAAATCCAGTTGTTTGTGCCCCAAAATGCTGTCTGTGGGAAAAGAGCTGAGCAAAAGCAGATAGTGGTGCCACCCTGGGCTGTGGTTTTGCCTAGGAGAAATGTGAATAATATGAGCGATTCTTTCTTCTTGAGATCTAACTTAGATTTTAACTTTTTTTAAAAATTGCAGTAATGAATGTCTATGGGATGCAGACACATAAACTCTCATCCATGATCACACTCTCTAAATACTGGCTGATTCAAGTATAAGTGTTTTGTTTCTGGATTTAAACTTCCTCCAGATTTAGTACTTTTGGAGTGGACATTTTGTCACATTGAGATGCTCAGTGCAGATATTGGATTTGATCTGGTTGCTGCCAGTTTCTTGGGTGATTTGGGATCTGAGCTTTGTCACGTAATTCTGCCTCTGACATCAAAAGTCTCTTTGGGCTCTGGACTACCTGAGCTGCTGGTTTTGGGGTATGAGGATGTGTTGGCAGGGCTCCCTCACAGACAGGAGATCAGCATTTCCACTTCCCCAAAGGGTTACTTTGTAGCATATTTTAGCTGTTGGGTGACTAAATTAGTGTTTCACTTAGTGGCAGCATAGGAGGGATATCAGTGACCCCACTGATGGGAACACACATGCACATGTGTGTTAAAGACCAGGTACAGTGTAATGTCTATCAAAAAGATATCTGCAGGTGACAAATCTGCTGAGACCAGAACCCCCCCAAACCATCCACTGCTGGTGGGACCACGTCCCTGTGCCCAGCACTGCCTCTCCACCCTCTGGCACCACGAAAATCACCCAGGGTGAGCTGCCGCCTCCAACCAGCTCAGCGTGGATCTGCCAACTTCAGATATAACCCTGGGCCATTATCTGTCAGAAATGCAGCTCTTCCTGGGATCAAAGAAAGCAACGACATCGTAAAAAGACTCATCAGAGCTTTGACTTCATGTCCCCTGCTGGGGCAGGACAGCCACCCACAGGAGCAGCGGAGGACACAGCCATGTCCTGCAAAGGTCATGTTTCACTCCAGGTGGAAATGGCACTTTAGGGCACTCTCCAGCCTCTTTTAAAAGTCTCAATAATTTTAAGTCCCACATTTGGCTAAGGTAAAACAAATCACAATTCTAGTCACTCACATGAGAGTTATTTTAGGATAAAGAGCAGCGGCATTTGCAGTCTGGTGAGACACTCCTTGCAAGTATTAATTTGGTCTTGTTGCTGGGGGGACTTTCTAGAGAAAGGAGTGTTGAGAAGAGGGGAAAAAAAAAAAGCAGAGAAGGAAACCGGAAAGTGAAGGTCTTGTCTCTGCTGTCTGGAGATGATCTTCACCAATGGTGGTGAAGTGTCCTTGTCTAGACCTCTGTACTTGGGCAGAGATGTGGAAAGAACAGCAGTTTTGGCCCTAAAAATACAGAAGTAGGAGGTGATATTTTGCTTTCTTGCTGCTCACGGGGAGTCACCCAAAAGCTTACTGCAGTGAAGAGCAAAATGTGGCCACAGTGATCCAATGCTTATCGAGCTGAGGAGGACCTTAAGTCAACTTATTTGGTAACAGCCTTTTTGTGTAGTGTAATCCCACGTTGGTCCTTAAAATACTAAACCAAGAGTGAAATTGAGATTTTTCTCACCACTGAATTTAGTTTAGCCTTTCCAAATGGGATAATACAGTGGAATGCCACATTTATTGGAGCTGATATATTTCATCCCATTTGATTTCCTAGTTTGTCTTGAGTGGCCGAGGACTTTCCCATAGAATAGCTTCATGCTCCGCAGACTGCTCAGAGCAGGTCATATTAACAAACTGTGGATAGTGCTTCAGAGACCATCTCAGAAAGAAGAGGTTGTACCTCCAACCCAGGCTGCAAGCCTCTGGGCTGTCCAACATCAGGCTTCCTTATTCCAGTACTGGTTTTTCCAGCAGGACCCAGGCTGAATGAAACAAGCTATTGGTGAGATTACTGCATGGCTGGGCTCGCTTCTACGGGACAAGAAACTCCATTAAAGAACCAGTGCAAGTTTCAGGGCAGTGTGCACTGTGCTGAACTGGGTGACACTGGTTTGGAGGCTACTGGTACATGGGGAACAGCGGGAGGTGGTGCATCCTAATATTCAGTTCCCTCTGTGGAAAGGCTGTCACAGGATGTGTGACTCATGCTTCATGGGCCTGCAACTGCTTTTGTTAATGTTGCTGGCCCAAGTGGCCTGGGAAAGGGTGATCAGGAGAGA